GGTTGCCGATTTCTTCACGGAGTAATAAACACATCATCCAGATGACTAAGCACACCTCCTAACACCTTTTAAAAAAAAAATTTCTCCTAATTTTACACCTTCCCCAGCTCCTCCTTTTCACACATGAAACTATCCTATGCTCATACACTCTGACAGGCGCTATGACTTTGTTTTTTTAAAGCATTTGATGGACATTAGTGAGTCTAGTGGAGTGAAGTGGGTATTTTTCCCAGGCCCTCTGATAAGACCCATATAAATAGTTGAGTGGGGCATTATATCACTTTGCTATTGGGAAAAAATGGAAAGCATTCCAGTGCGCAGAGGATTAGTCGATATTCAATTAACCCAGGCAGACAGTCATGGTGACTGTTTATCAATACCTCTTTTTAACTGCACACCCTCGGCACACTTAATTAAACTTCCCATTAATAGCATCAAACAAGTGAGCAAGCTAACAACACAAACATTCGGCCAAGTTTGGAAAAGTCAACTAAATCCATAGAAGCACTGGTGGGAGAACTGGTTATTTAAGAGAGTCAGCCAAGTTCTTGCACTGGTCTGAGGTCTCTGTCATGTCCATACATGCCTTCAGTCTAGTTGTGGAGACAGAGGACGACTTTGTGTGTTTTGGACACGCCACAATTATGCATCCTTAAAGTATTCATCTGGTTATTGATGTGTATCTGGGATATGTCCCGATCCTTGACCCCCAAATCATTCATTTCCTCGCATTCCTCAGTTGAGCGTATGAAAGCCCTCACATAGCTCAGAGCAGACTGTGGTTGTGGTTTCATATGAAGAAAGACTTAGCTGTCATGTTGTTTAACAACAGGAGACGACCCTCCTCCTCCGCTCCGTGCTACAAATCGTGCTGCATTTGTCCATTGCCAATTAGCTGCAAATCAGGGCAAGTGCACTAATCGGGGTCAGTGATGTGACCGTCTAGACGATGATAATGATCTGCTAACATGTGATGTGATCAAACATGCTAGTTCTGGTGTAAGTCTCCTATAGTAATTGTAATAAGTCTCCTGTTTGCGTGTCATCGGTTATGAGTTGAACAGCAAAGATGCTGATAGACATTACAGAGAGATTATGTGATAGAAAGAGTCAGGAAAAGGACAGATGGAGAAAACAGGAGAGACAAACAGACTGAATTATTCGGACAACTATTGGATGGATTACCATGTAATTTTGTACAAACATTCATGGCCCCTAGAGGAAGAATCCTAATAATTGTGGTGATCTCCTGACCTTTCATGTAGCGCCACCAGCTGGTTGGCATTTCAAACTTTAGTAATCAACGCAAGCACTCATAACTTTTCTTTTTATAGCACATTTCATTCCAGGTGGCAGCAAAATATGGTGCACATTGTGTTAGAGCTACCACTACAGTTGCTTCCACAAACACCATGTGGATAGCGCAGAGATAAAACATTTGACTTAAGTAAACACAGTTAAAACAGACACATCATACATGTGAGTTAAAGGGACACTTTGCAGATTTTCAACCAGCTTTGTGTCCTCCACCTCTTTCTCAAACTCAAACTCAAACCAAACTCAGATCAAACTGTAAAACTAGGCAGTGCTGATCAAATTTAACTAAAATTCTGTTGCTGCGCAGGCTGTCAGAAACACATTTTAGTGCACTGTTTGGCTGTGATACGAGAGTTTGTGAACAGGAAGTGGGCGCCATACTGTTTTCTGTATTGTAAAAATGGAGGTTGAAAATACTGAGATCAAACAGTAAAACTAAGCAGTGCTGATCAAATACAAACTGAGATTCTGTTACTGTGTTACATGTTTCTCACCTCAGATGATTTCAGAAGCATTTTTTAGCTTACCATTTGACTATGATACAAGATCGTCTGTCTCCTGCCAGCCACCATATTGTTTCCTTTGTAAAAAAGGACAAGCTTACATTACATCACAAACCAGCGTGATTAGTCATTGGTCTGGTGTGGTGCAATGCATTCTGGTATTTGTTTTCTGCCTCTTGACCAAAAGCAAATGCCACAGCCCTTTCTGGTCACATAGCACCAACGTAGTATTGTGTCTTTCCTCTGCTTAAACAGTCCAGTTTTATGAAGTGACCGTCTTTCCATCAGTGAAATACTTCTTCAACACCACGAAACAGTAGGAATAAAAATTTAAATAATTAAGATCATCAACGACCAGTATGAAATAGAAAAGAATAAAATGTAATTAATAACTAAGACCAAATGAACAGTTAACCTACCAAAATATAATAAGACACATGATTTAAAACTAAAAAACTGGAGTAAGAATAAAATACAATAAGATGAAATAATAATTAAGACTGGCAGGGGTGCACTGTCAGAAGAGCCAGAAAAAGAAAAAAAAACCTTGGGAAAAGGAGCCCCCAACATCTACTCATAATAGCACATCTTGCAATGACAACTATAAACCCCCTTAAACCTCCCATAAAGACACTATACAGTAGAGAGCAAGCTGCCGCCCAAAAAATCCCCCCAAAATCCCCCAAAGTGAAACATCTCAGCAACTTGGAATTTGGCACAGGCATTCATGTTGCCCCAGAGGATGAATTTTAATAACATTGTTGATCCGCTGACTTTTCAACCAGCACCATCATCAGATCGAAATTTTAATGTGTCCACTACTTTAGTTTATGAGCTGCAAAGCTATAGTGACGCTCCCATCAGACTCAGCTGGTCTTGTGCTAATTGACAGAAGCTTACATGTGCTAAAATATGATTATAAACATGGTAATAATTTTATCTGCTATAAACATCTTTGTCAACCTTTTTTCTTCAATCATTTTGTCTATAAAATGTACGCAAATCCTGAAAAAAAGCCTTCAAGATATTTGATTTACAATGATATAAACTAAGACTAATTAATTGACTGACTAATCATTTCAGCACCACTTTTATCATAGTTTAGGTGATTGTGGGAAATACAACAATGAGGTGTATACCTGGGCATGCTGTTGTTAATATCTCTGAGAGCTGAGATTAAAAGTTCAGTTCAGGAGTAATGAGGGAGCCAAATGATGCTCCACAGACTCCTTGCTTATATCATATAAGTATTTGTGTGTGATTGTCCGACCCAGAGGAACTTGTTTCAACCAGCAGCTACGATAACAGAGGCTTTTAAACTTGTGTATTTTTATCAAAGCGTTTTTTGGGGAATCAGTTCCTTTTCTTGTGGGAAGACGATTCTGTATCGCTGTAGTAAAGACACTGTGATAAAGTAAGTATTCTGGAATTTCAGTTGAGAAATCATTCATAGATATGTCTCACTGCAAACACTGAAACCCTAATACAGTATGCACTAGAGAGCACAGGAGCTGATAAGTTGAGTCAGACCAGTTGTAATATTCTCCAAGAGGACCACACTAATGGGCCCCCGTCTGATACTCAAAGCCAGGATCTGATCTGTAACACCGTCACTGTGCGAACTCCATCACAAGGCGGTGAACTAGCAGTGTAACCAACAAGTAGTGTATCTCATTCGGGTTGTCAGTCTCACACGTTTGCAGTCCCATCTTTGTTTGTCTCTCTCTACCATTGTGTGAATACCAATGAGCGTTGAGCCGTTATCGCCCGAGCCTCGGATGACAGAATCTGAGTGATGTATCACTCATCTGCCTCAGCGTCTTGCCAGAGACAGGATGTGTTTTCTTACTTGGGAAATGAAATGTCAAATGCAGATTCAAAGTTGTGATGGCTCAGCAATATCCGGGATTGTTTTAAGTTAAGATGAACGGCCTGCCCCCTCGTTGCTAACCTTTTGTGTGTGATGGAATTTTACAGCTGTACAGATAAGAATTGATGGCGGTGGTGTTTGTTTGCTGGGCCCACGGATAAGCTGAAATATAATCCTTCCAACTGTTTTTGATCAAAGAAGTAAAGCTCCACTATGTTCTCGCGCACAGCTCGATTGTAATTCTCCGGGCCTCTCCTCTTTGTGTTTAGCCCATTAGAGGGCTGTGCCTCTGTGCTCTGCTAAGTTTGCTCTCAGAGTTGAAATGTTTTCCCCTTGGGCGCCTTGAGCCAGCCCCCTTCCCCTTCCACCAATGTGGGGGTGAGCTTTCCCAGGACAAAGAGATGAATATATAATAGGATGAAAAAAGAGGGGGTGGTAGAGACAAAAAGACAGCGGGTGTGTGAGTGAGAGGGAGGAAGGGAGAGTGGGAGCAGGACTGAAAAGATATAGAGGGCTTGACAAGTGCTTGTCAACGGGTTCAATACTACTGCCAGGCTCTGAGTGCAGGGACAAGGAGAGAGGAAGAAGTAAAGAGAAACAATCTGTACTTTTCCCCTATTACAGACCCGATTGCTAACTCATTACAGACTCCATAGGGTGTGTGATACACAACACACTCTGTAGTTAGAGAGTTGCTGGAAAGCAGCTCAGTCCAACTGCATCCCCCCCTCTCCCCTGGTCCTCCAGCACATGGTACAATCCATTTAAAAGGCTGCATGTCATCTCAGTGTGCGCTGGGTCCTCTCTGAGAGCAGCTGCTCACAGCACATTCTCCTCTGCGGGAGCACTCACTTTCCCCTCCGCCCGCTGAGCTAAATCTCTTTTGCTCTTCTGTCTTTTTTCTTTCTTTGCTCTCTTTACATGCTCTCTTCCTCTCTTTCTCCCGCGCTTACTCTCTTTATTCTTTGCCCTGCACACACACACACACACACACACACACACACACATTCACACACACTAACACACATGCTCTCTCTGACTGTGTGCTACTTGGCCACACAGACGTTATTCTTTGTGCAGTAACAGGTAGACATCATCTCTGTGCTGCTCAGCGGAGAACAGAAGAGGGACCGGCGTTTTGGCTTTTTTTTTCTTATATGTGCGAAGTAAACTGTAGGAGAAGAAGCACAGGTGGAGGAGGAGGAGGAGGAGGAGGAGGAGGAGAAGAGTGGGATAAGAGGAGGAGGAAGCTTCACCCCCTCTAATGCTCCACTTGACATCATGCTGCTCTGTGTGGATTTGGTCCTCAGGGGAAAATTCTTAAAATGATGGAAGACAACAAACAGCTGGCACAAAGGATTGATGGGGCCATCCAGTCCGCCAGTCAGGAAGTGACCAACCTCCGCTCCGAGCTCTCCGCCACCAGCCGCAGACTGGCAGAGCTGGGTGCCAGCAGCCCCCCTGCTTTGGAGAACCACCACCAGCACAATCACCACGATGACAGCCTCCACTACCGGGGTGAGTGTCACAGCATGTGCATGGATGTGAATGTGCATTCTCTCACACTCAATCGCCTGTGTCTCTATGTGTGTGTGTGAGAGTGAGAACATGAACATGTGTGAATGTTTTGAAATCAACAGTGGGAAGTATTCGGGGAATGTGCAGTGGGGAGACTTATATCATTCCACCGTTCCTCCACTGACTTATTTTTCCCCAAAGTCCCCCACACCAGAATGACAGTGGAAAAGACTGAAAAGAAAGAGAACAAGAGAGAGACTGAGTGTTGTTATTAGACGGGAGGGGCTGGGGTTAGAGAGCGTGGGCCAGAGCCGGTCCGGGTTTGGTTTCCCAGGCAGCAGCTGGGCTCCTCTGGGGCTGCTCTCCCTCCAGCTCTGGCTCCTTCCCTGCTCTGGCAAGGAGTCTCAAACTGAGCTCTAGGCCCAGGAACTGTACGCCAACATCTCTGACAGGGGCTGCCGACACTATGGCACCGTTACTTAGCTGGGAAAGAGATGTGATGAATGGGGAATGAGCTTTAAACTAAAGTTTTCATGGGAATGTGGAAGTTTTGGCTTCGTGTCACGAAATGACATACTTTTTAATATCGCTTCTTCTTTTTTCTGTAAGTAATAACCTAAAGACTATGAATAATAAATAGCTTTATATTTAGTTATTGCATGCCTAATGACGCTTGGTTGCCATTTTTATCTTTATAGCTATTTTATGTTTGCCTCGGCTTGTGTAAGACGATGGCCTGTGTCTAATTAAACCTTCTTAGGATAGATTTTGTTAAGCTACTTTTATATAGCTGACATCTTGGATTCATTAATGATGAGTTTTATTCTGTAATGAGTGGAACAACTTTGTAGAGGGGAAGTCCTGGTGTTCTTGTTTTCCTGTTACCCCTTGCCTGATCTGATCAATTTATTGAGCAACCAATTAGCAATGACAAACTTGAAGCTTACGACACAATGTAGGGTGACAATTTTATATTTTTCATATTTTATATATCTGTATATTTCCATCACCTTCCTGTCTCTCTCCTCCCTGTTTGCATGTCTCCTTCACCTCTGCTTTCATCCACACCCTTATTCAAACACACACCCCTATGCACATCTTCATCCCGATCCTCATCCATTGCCCTCCGCACAGGTTCATCTCTTTATCGCTTGCACGTACAGAAAGTTTTGTTCGCTGAAATAGTGAGAAAAAAGACCTCATGTTCCAGGTCTTTGGCCTCGGGGTGTCTGCGTTTTGCGTTTGCCGTACTGATACATTTAGAAGCCTGAGGGTTATTGAGATCATACCCTACCAGGCAGCTTGCTGTCAGTGTCCATTAAATGGCTCCCTGTGTCAGGCATTTGTAGTTCAGCAGCAGGTGATTCCTCATATCTGCTGCTGGCCCTGAAGGCTCTGTGTGAAATGGGGTTTAAGGGCGCTGATGTGCTTGTTTTTAGCTACGCGTTGGCATGTGAATCATATGTATCCTGCGTTCCCCAGAGTATTGGTTTGCACCTTCTCAGGGATGAATGCATTAGTACATCCTTGAGGTGCAATTAAAGGGGAACTACAGATTTCACACGTGCAATCAGCTGTAGAAGGTCTTCTGAGAAAATAACACTGATTTCATAATGACGTCATCTGAGACAGACACTTTGCTGTGAAGTTGCTGTATGGGTGATGTAGTGATTTTGGAGTTTAATCCCTGTGTGCCTTTACTACTTTGGTTTTTCTTTCTTTAACTGCATCTTCTGATTCCCCCAACTTTATGGGGGTGAAATACTAAATTGATTTAACACTCCTGTAAGCACATGAACAGTAGAGGTAGTTAATCAGGATGTGATGTAAGGTCAGCAGCACACAGTGAACAAATCACAACAACAATGGCTGAAAGTTATTAGAGAGAAATAGAGACTGTCACCACTGCTGCTTTTTCCCTCTGCCCTCAATATCAGTGTAACCTCTACGAGTGTTCTGTTGTGTTTATAGTGTGCAAACTGGAATTTCTCAAAGAAGACATTCAAGTGTCAACCAGGGCTGATTCATCTGCTGTCTAGAGGATATACTTTTTAATCCTTCAGGTCACACAGAGTATGCAGGCGAGGGAGCCTGCATCACTGTCACTTGTCTACGCTTGTTGTCAAAAGCAAATATATCACAAGACTTAAACTACTTGGGTAGATTTTTTTTTTTTCGGCCTGTGAGACTGGCGAAGTAACCGCAGCATCTGAACAGGTAGATGCGTCAGGTTCTCCTCTCCTAGTTGGCATTCAGAGCGGAAAGAGCCATGGTTTTAAAAATGCAATGGTTGTTTGGGGCCAGATGTTTCAGGCACCAGTGAGACAATAACATATGATCCTGGAAGTTCAGTTTGAGTGACATATTAATATGTTTGAAAGCTTATCAGATGCTCAAACTCAATGTAGGATGTTTTTGCCAAACGTAGTCAGAGCCAAATAATGTGGTAGATGTATGTAAAAGTAATAACTGTGAGCAAAAACCTCAAGCTTCAGACTTTTCTGAATACTCTGTTTCCAACTTCTTTTATATATTTTCAAGACAAGCTTGTGTCAGGTATCTTTATCCGGTCATCTACTCCAGGCACGCTGCTGCTAAGTGTTTACATTATGTCCACTGCTATGTGTAGCTACATGCTAATGTCATGGAAACATCTAATCTTGGTTGCTGATGTTGTGAATTTCTGCACGATTTCGAATCATTTTCCTGCTGGAACATGTCCGGTTGTGTTTTGAGGCTTTCCGTCTGTGTTTTTTTTCCAATAGAACGTGGCGCTTTACACTGTTACAGTCATTCCCCAGCTGCAATGACAATGCAGAGACCTGAATTTGCTGACCAATCAGAGCAGCTTGGGCTTTTTTGGGAGGAGGGGTTAAAGAGACAGGTGCTAAAAGGGAGCCTTTCAAACAGAAGGTGGATACAGGTGTTCCAGCACAGATAGCATCAGGAAAATAAAGTGTTTCTGAACATTAAAGCATGTGAACATGTTCTGACAGAAACCCCAAATGCAAGTATGAACCTAAAAATGAGCATAATGTGTTTCCTTTAATCTTTTGTTGTGAGAATTGTATTGTAAACAACGGAAATACGATGGTCCAGTTGTAAAGTAATCTACCAAGAATGGGTGCTTGCATATATTTGACTGGCTAATACATCGTGCTGCATTGCACTGCGCTCATTTACTGGATGACCCTTTGTCAACAGAGTGACCTCTCTGAAATGAGGGTTAGCCTTTTTCCTCCGCAGGACTGAAGCTTATCTGAAAACTTGGCCTAACTGTTTAGTCTTTACTGTTGGAATAACTCACTGAGTTATCTGTTGTGTCCACCCGGTTTTCACTCAGTATCGTTCCAGCAGTGTTAACAGGCAGCCTGACATTCCCACATTCCTGAATGTCAGGGCAGTGATGTCATACTTCCTGTTCCCAGAGGCCAGGCCAGCAGTCAGGTGACGGATCAAACCAAACACAGCCACACTGCAGTCCTCCAGCAGCTCCAAACTAACACAGCAGAGCCCCTCACCTTGCCTGCATAAAGAGGGATGAGCCTGAGAACCGCTTAGCTTAAGGATGTTTTTTTAAGATTTTAAGTTTAGGATGATTCGTCTGAGAGATCTCTCGGGTTAGGCAGTTTGGTGTGTGATGAGCCAGCGTCAGCGTCCAGTGGCTTAGGGAGATTAAATGTTCTTTAGGTGTGTATCCCTCTCAAGGCCAGGCTGTTTGTTAGTCCATTTGTTGGCTCTTCCCTGTGCAGGATCAAAGCCGCCGTGCAGACAAGGATTTTTAATATGCATGAACTGACTTCCTGTAAATATATTATACTGTGCCAGAGTGTCAGAATTTTTGTGCTTTCCCCGTGGAGCTTCAATAACATCTCTGACAGATGTCCAATAAGGCTATAAACACAGCACTTCAGCCTGCTGTTCCCGTTGGCCTTGGAGTCTGTCCTTCTTACCGAATTAATTGTGAGGAACAAGAGATTAAATCACCCGAAACTTTCATCTCTACGCCAAGCATCAGGAAAAACTTCATTTTGCTTTAGTACATTTTGTGTAGTATTTCAAATCACATCTCTTTTTACAGGAGGTTGTCTGTGTATGTCTTATCTTCGCTCTAGAGTACAGTAGAGTCAATGGAAAGGTCTCTGGCTGACCTGCCTCCTTTTATTCAAGCCATTGACAGTAATGTATTCATTGTCGGGGTGATGACACCCCTTTATCATTGGCCCTTCCTTTTAATCTATCACATTGATGTTGGGCCTTGTTTAACATTCTTAAACGACGCTGATGTTTCAGCACAAGTCGACTGGATTGCTGCCATATCTGATGTCCATCTGAATTGTGAGGAAAAATATCCGCCTTGCACTCAATTTGTCCCAGGGAATAGAGACTGTATTAAAATGCTTTGTCCTCTAAAATCAATGTGAGCTCACCTTATGGGATATTACATTATTTATACTCTTATACTCTTGGTAGATTGGTGCCCTGCAGTCAGTCGGGAAGAGAGTGCTCATCACAGACTCGTGGGAATCTGCCAATACTAATCCATAAACCTTTTTAAAAACACATCCATAGGGCAGCTGTTGGTGACTCATACAGCACAAGAAGTATGGATGACACATTTTCACTTGTCCAGGAGCATCACTGTCAGTCACAGTCAAGGTAAAATAGAGGGCTCAAGGTTGGGACTGTAGCTGTACAAATTAAGAGGAGTTATTAGATGTTCAGGATTATGGAAGTAAAAGTAATTTTCAGCACAGACAGTGTGACTTGCAGTTGGATCACATCCAAGACTTGGATGGGGATAAAATGCCCCAGGCTGAACAAAAGATGAGCACCTGTGTTTGAAAATATTTGTTTCATTGACAGAAAGCTTAAGATACAAAAGGTCAACTCCCAAGAAGATTCTTTGTGGGAAAACTCACAGCCTCGCAGAGCTTAAAAGTCTGTTATGTATGCTACCAGAACAGACAGCGGAGGCTAAAGATTATGCTTTTTAGAAA